GGTTTTGTTTAGCTGCTCTATGTGTTACAATGTTTCAAACTGCAGGCTCAGAGGCCGGCAAGGCAGGCGGGGAACGTTGAGTCCTCCATCATTGAAGCAAGCAAGCCTCATGTTAGTTTCAAGCTGCCTGGCTGCCGGCCGCCATCTTGGCTGGCAGCTAATTTGCATATCACCCTGATTAGCCAATAGGAAGGGTAGCGGATGTACGCTAATTACCATGTTTCTCTTTTATTAGATAGGATACCCTGTTAAAGGATGAATATCCAAAATTTATAAAGAACCAAGACAACTCAATACCTAAAAAGCAAACAATCCAATTACAAAGTGGCTGAAGACCTGAAGAGGTACTTCTCTGAAGAGGACATAGATATCCAATAGACATATGAAAAGATACCCAACATCACTATCATTAGAAAAATGCAAATTAAAAGCACAATGAGACCACCTCACACGTATCAGAATGGCTACCCTGCCAAGGTAGCTCAGTTGGTTAGAGTACTGTCCCTATATACCAATGTTTCAGGTCAGAGCACAACCAATGAATGCATAAATAAATGGAACAAATCTACTGTATTTTCCCGTGTATAAGACACTTTTTTTCTAAAATCCTTAGAATGAAAATTGAGGGGCATCTTATACATGGAAGTTAGCCAAGGAGGGAACTGTGCGGTGCATAGCTTCCCATACCTTGTCACACAGGTTTCGTGCAATCATGTGTCTGATTGTTACTGACATTAGCTAATGCTTTAATTGGAGGTGGAGAGTGTGCAGATGCAATAGGGACTGGAGTGTTCTGAGCCCATAAAGATGTCAAAAAATAAAAAGATAAATACCAGTAAGCAATTGTTTTACTCTGCAAAATTCAAACTGAATGCAATCAGCTATGCAAAAGAGCATGGAAATAGAGCTGCAGAGAGACAATTTGAACCTCCTCCCACTGTGTATGATCAGACAGTGGAGAAAACAGGAAGAACTCCTTAAGATGCCAAAAAAGAAGGCCTTAAGAGAAAAACCAGCAACATGTTTAAAATGTTAATTTCTTAATTTTGGGTTAGAAAAGTGGGGGCATCTTATACATGGAAAAATATGGTATGTTTCTCTCTTCCTCTCTAAAGTCAATCAATCAATTTTTAAAGAATGAAATCTTACCATTTGTGACTACTTGGATGGACCTAGAGAGTATTATACCAAGTAAAATAAATCAGACAAAGTCAAAAGCCACAGGATTTCACTTAACAAAAGAAATGAACAAACAAAACAGAAACTGGCTCAAATACAGAGAATAGTTGCCACACAGGGAGGCGGGGATGGTTCAGGGGATAGGTAAAAAAGGTGAAGAAATTAAGAAGTACATATTGGCAGTTACAAAATAATCATGAAAAGTGAAGTATATCATAGTAAATGTAGCCAATAATGTTATTAACTATGTGTGATACCAGGTGGGTACTAGCCTTATCAGGCGAAATCACTTTGTAAATTATATAAATGTCAAACCACTAGGCTGCACACCTGAAACTAATATAAAATAATATTATCAACTGTAATTGAAAAATAAAAATATATTAAAAAAATAATTTAGGTACTATATGCCTTAATATTTACCTGACTGAACAATAAGAAATGTGGGACAGTCTGCCAATTCCACAAACTTTCAAGTTAATAAAAATTAAGCCATAAAATCTCAATATAGTCATGGGGTATGATTGGGAAGATAATCTGCAGTTACTGATCAAAATAGAGAAGTAACAGGTCAGATTTTTCAGCATATTATACTTTTATTTATCGACACAAATTTTTGTGAAATAAGCTACCAGCTACATAGTAAGTCAGTAGAACCTTTTACTAAATGGTGAGGACAGCTGTCCATGAAAATCAAACTGACTCAGTGATGTAAGTACTGACTCATTTTATTTTGGATTTCAGACATATTCTTGCCCTTTCTCTATTTAGATAACTCTTTATTACCAGCAGCTGGAGTCCAGTTGTAAAATTATGGAAAATGGAGAAACTTGATCCATCAATTATGACAGACTTTCAACTTTACTAGTAAATAATCTATAGACTATGTTTCAGAAATACTGATTTCATTGAGACTTTAAATTATGACCCAAGAGTTTTATGGGAAATTCAATAAAAGATCTGCTTCAGAACTCTCTATGATTAATAATACAGAGAATATATGAATTCTTTTAAAAATTATAAGGTAACTTAACAGTACATTCCCACTGGGAACAAAATGCTCTCAATACTATGACTGGGGAAACAAAGGAATGGTTCTAAAATATTCTTCACAACATAAAAAGATATTCAAACTGAAAAGGCAACAGATTTGAGTATAAGGAAACTTAACTACAGATGCTTATGAGAGGGCTACATCCTGATAAATCCATAGTAACTTGAAAATATCATTAAGTTGAAAATGGATTTAGCCTCCCAAACATCATAGCCTAACTTAGCCACTTCTACTGAATGTATATTGCTTTGGCACCATTGTAAGGTCAAAAAATTGTAAATTGAACTATTATAAATCAGAGACCACATGTACAGTTTTCATTCTATAAATAACTTGCGAAGTAAAGTCAGTGGACAAAAGAGGAAAATCATTTTTGTTGTATTTCACAATTCTGAGAACTAGAAGTTCTAGGATTTTTAAATCTTTATACTACAGAGCACAATATTGCCAACTATAGTAGGGAAGTTCCATTCTCTAGGTAGGGTCATTAAAATTTTTTTACCTTTTTTCTTTACTCAAAACATTTACTAAATGGAAAAGGAAACTAGATCAAGAAAATAAATTATTTTGTTTGAAATTATCCTTACATATGCATTCAGAGTCATTTAAAAATAAGACCATTTCCTTTGCACAAATTAAGTGTAAATAATTGTTTCTTGAAATGAACAGAAACTTGGTTACCTTTGGAGAAGAGGATACAAAACTACTGAGACAGGTATCATAGGCTTACAGTTTTAACAAAATCTGTGAGAGGCAATGACCAAATTACAATTTTGATTGGTTTGCTTTGTTATTATTTCTATCTCCCCCAAAACTCTGCAGCGTAGAGCCTATTTCAAATTCTTCTAATAGTCTACTTCATGAGTTAATATGTACATACTGAATAAAGCAGCAGATATACTGTAATTTTTTAAGAAGTAAATCATTTTACATATTATAGGCTGGAGGCAGTTTAACGTAATGAGGTTCTTGTTCTGAAAAATCTGATGGCAGTATTTTAAAGCTCAGATTACACAGGTTTGTTAGCTCTTGGCTTGTTTCAAGTATTACTGAGCTATACTTGAAAACATCTTCAACTTCACATTATTTATAGCTGTCCAATTATAAGGACTTCAGCAGTAAAATGTGTGAAGTATAAAGAAGCATGTAATGTTGGTGACAAATGCTCCAGAACACCAGGAATAAGGTTACCAAAAAGCAAAGTAAATCTAGAACAAGGAAAGGGAATAAGGTACATTTATTTAAAATAAAAATAGCAGACAGTCCAGTCTCTGATAATAAACAAAACCACTTAGATTCCAAGAACATTCAATATACATTGTAACAATGCATGTATATTTAGAAAAGCCAAAGACCCATTAAGTAACTTTATTAGAACTTCAGAAAGGAAAAAAAAAAAGTATTTTGGCTCCCTCCTGCTAGAGGTCTGCCTACAAACACGACATGCTGGATCTGCGTCCTCTTTCAAGTGTTCTGTACAGCACAGTATTGCACAATGTGTGCATTCATTCTGTAAATACAGTTTCTGAATAAAGTTGCAGTTTCCTTAGGGATAATCCAGAACATGTGAGTGGCTCCATTTAATAAAAATCTTCGTAGGCTGGAAGAGCAGTGACAACTGTTTTCCAAAACTTCGCTTTTAACAAAATGTACAAAATAAACTACTAAATCTAGATGCTTTCACATTATTTTGCATGAGTATTAAGTACAGTGTAAAATCTTGAGTTAGCCAAAACTAATGTCTTTAAACTTTACATCAAAGTTTTTCTTCATTCTTTTAGCATAAATGTTTTCTGCCACTCACTACTAATGCTTGTGAAACCAAAGAACTTTGAAAAAGAATATGCACTGCTGAAGAAAGAGAGTACCAAAAATGTCACTGAACTTCAGTCTTAAGATACACACAGTTCCTGTTGGACAATGGGCTGTGAAAGTTTACTATCTTCAGTCTTTTCATGTCCTGGGGCATGGCAAGTAGTCTTCCGCTTAAATAATCGCAGACTCAATCGTAATAATTCATTGTCTACCATTGGAGTACTTGTGTAAGCTTGTTTTACCGTGCCCTATTTGGAGAAAACAAAACAAAACAAAACAAAACAAATGTACATTATTAGTTAACAATAAAAAAGGTGAACTTCTAACAAAAATATAAAAGTTATAAAAAATTAATTGGGGATGGATATTAGCTGTATTGGATATCTAACAGTAAAATTAGGAAATGTTTTTAGACTGGAGGAATCTAAGGAAAGAAAGCAGTATATATATATATTTATATTTTTATTGATTTCAGAGAAGAGGGAGAGACAGAAACATCAATGATGAGAAAGAATCATTGATCAGCTGCCTCCTGCACAACCCCTTCTGGGGATTGAACGCACAACCTGGGCATGTGTCCTGACCGGGAATAGAACCGTGACCTCCTGGTTTACAGGCTGACACTCAACCACCGAGCCACACCAGCCAGGCAAGAAAGCAATCTTTAGAGGGCACCTGGTCTAACTTCTTACCTAATGTAGGAGTCTTCTCAACAATCCCTGACAGGTAACTGACTAGTGTTTACTTCATTTCTAATGAGAAAAAAACAGAACAAAAACACACCACACCATACTGTAAAATCTAAGTTGAACAGTACTACTTCTTTTATATGTTGAAATAAAAATCTCTTTTATGGAGCTATACACTAAATCTTCCTTTTACATGATAGTCTTTCAGTTCTCTAAAGAGAAGCACTAAACATTCTACACTCCTTGCTGATATGTTAATGCTCCGTAAAATGTGGGCTCTAGAATGGAATAAATCTCCCTTGAACTAAAATGTATATCTCTATTACGGTAACTTAAAACTACATTAGCATTTTTGGAAGTTATTGTTATAAAATTTTGTTAAATGTTCTCCAACCATGTGTATAATGAAGTAAAGTTTGAGTATCTCCAGCCTTCTGCCATTTATTTTCTTGCTAGGATCCTTAAAGGAACAGTGTATTCTTTGATCACATGTGCATTTATAAAAATACAGAAAAACTGACTTTTTATGCATAGTTCTGTGAATTATTACTCATGCAAAATCATGTCCCCAGAGACATTTCATCACTGAAAAAAACTCCCTTTGCTGCCTCCTTGTATTCATACCCTCTTTATTCTGTAACCCTTGACAAACAATAAGAGTCTGTTATTGTTCCAGAACCTCTTATAAATGGAGTCATACAGCAAATATGATCTTTTAAGATTAGTTTCTTTCACTTCATCATAATGCCTTTGAAATTCTTCCATGTTGTTGACAGTACTAAAGGCTTGGTTATTTATTACCAATTAGTTAGCCATTGTATGGAAGCGCCACTGTTAGCCAGTTCAACGACACTGGGCTTATTTCTAGTTTTGGAGATTGTAAATAGAGCTGCTATAAATGTTTGTGTAAAGGTTTTTATATGAAC